CTCTGCTGGGCTTTAATGTCTACCAGAGCGCCTCATCTTGCAATTTTCCTACACCAGACACTGCTCTAGGTGCTGGGCTGTAAGCAGCAAACATAACATAGGAAACCAGCTTCCTGTCCTCCCAGAGGAGGACAAGCTGGCTAAGCTGAGCGACAAGGAGACAAAGGCGGAAAATGAGACAAGCCACGGTATCAGGAAAGCCTACAAGATGAAGTGTTTCAAAAGAAGGGTATGTCAAAAATATACTTCAGGGGAATGGCTGCAAAGGGGTACGAGGAGACTTTCTGAAGTAATGAAAACATCTGTATCATGATTGATGGGTAGGTTCACAACTGTATACATTTGTCAAAACTCATTAAACGGTACACATAAAATTGTTGATTTTTACTGTATATTATGTTATACCTCGGTGACTCTGGTTTCCAAAAAGTGTGTATGTCAGGAAAGACAATTTTTTATGGAAGGCAAGAGTTCTAAGATGAAAGGATACTAAAGAGGCGTGCCAAGTGGGTGTAACGTATGGTCTTTGACTCGATTCTGTATCCCTCCCCACAAAAAGCTATAAAGAGCATTTTAGGGGCAAACTGGAAATGTGAATATGGACTATATATTAAACTGCATAGTATCAATGCTAAGCTTTTTTTTTTTTTTTTAAGTGTGGTCATTTTCTTGTGCTTATGTAGGAGAATACCCCTTTCGTAGCAGATGCATATTCAGGTATTTGGGGGTAAAATAAGAATGTCTGCAATCTAGTCTCAAAAGGTTCAGAAGAAAGAACATAGGAGTGTGCAGGAGAGACCAGGAGATAACAGATGAAGGCAGCGAGTACAAGGCACTCTTTTCAAGAGTGTTTCCCTGAAGGACAGCGGAGAAATAGGACGTGGCATTAACACTGTCCACCGAAGGCAGTATGAAGACGTTCTGTATGTTGAACCGGTAGAGAAGAGGCTGATGGCGCAGGACAGAAAGGCTATCAGTGGAGAAGCAAAGTCTCTGAAACCGTGAGAGGGGCTGGGACACAGGGTCCAAAAGAAAGGAATCACCTTAGGTGACGTGGATGTTGATGGTGACAAAGGGGCACGAGTGTCTACGCTGAAAATGGCCAGGCACTATTTAAAGCATTTTTACTCAATTCTCACATCAACTCTAAGATAAAGGTATTACTAATATCTCCTTTTACAGATGAGGAAGCTGAGGTACAGAAAAACTAAATAACTTGCCCAGTGACACGTATCTAACAAATAGCAAATTGAGCTTTTAGAACCCAATGGAAGAGACTTTTCTCCTGGCACAACAGGGCAGGCAGGGTCTGTGCGCGGCAGAAGCAGCTGCGCTTCTGGCAGCGGAAGATGACGTAGCTCTGACATGAGTACATCTGTTTTCTCAGCGTGGCATGTGGTGAGTTCATCAGCGGAGGGGGTGGGCGGAGGGGATGTTGGGGATTTGAGAAGAGCGGGTGAGAAATTCTTGCTTCAGACAGAAGGCAAGTGAAATTACTAGCAATGACTGGCAGTACTGAATGCCCCTCTGGAATTAGGAGTCATAAATTTGCAATCTACTTGTCCTGACTAGATGGTATTTTCTGGCCATTTTCAGCTGCTTGCGAGTAGGCATAAAGAGGACAGCTGGGTTTAACTAGGGAGGGATTTTTACAGACAAGTGAGACCCAAGAAAAAAAGCAGCCAGGGAGTAAGTAAGGGGGGAGGCCAGAGAGTGGTGAAAGTATGGGGGGGGGGGCTGGAATCTCGGCTAGATAAGGAGGAATATATGACCATTATGAATGGGATCCATACGGAAAAAGCGGTGGGGTCGGAGGTCTGGAGATCGTGAGGTCAGAGGGTAGTTGGGAGTGTGGGCTTACAGTAAGAGATAAGTAGGAGTGCGATGCTCGGAGAGGGTATTTCAAGAGCAGTGCCATTATTGATGATGAGGAGATCCAGCGTATGACCATGTGGATGGGAGGCTGAGGGGTACAGAATAAAAGACAACATGACTGGGGTGCCAGGATGGCTCAGTCGGTTGAGTGTCCAGCTCTTTATTTTGGCTCAGGTCATGGCCTCAGGGTTCTGAGATCGAGCCCCGAGTCTGGCTCCCCACTCAGCAGGGAGTCTGTTTCTCCCTCTGCCCCTCCCCCTGCTTGTGCGTGTGCTCTCTCTCTCAAATAATAATCTTAAAAAAGGAAAAAAAGACAATGGGATCAAAAGAGGCCAGGGTGCTGGATGAATCCTCTCTCTGAATGCTTAAGTTACACAGAGAGGTAGAAAAAGCAGCGGTGGAGAGTCATCAGTGAAGATGGGACAGAAGACAGCGACAAACCAGAGTAAGGGGAGTAAAGCGCTACGTCATACACTGTAGGATGCTGGGGGGAGCTGAAGGGGAAAGATGACGAGATCATTTGGAAGTTGCAGTGGGGAGCAAGGATATACCCAGCCCACCCGTAGGCTCAGAGGCATAGAAGGTGAGGAGGCAAAATCAGATTCTAACCCTCAGAGCAAGAAGGTGGAGGGACTGTTCAGAAAGAGACTGAGGATACAGCACAACACTTGGCACGTGGTAGATATTCAACCAGTATTTCTTGAATTTGAATCTTAACTTTTCGAATAGTTTACTATACCCTAAAAAGGAAAAAACTAAATTTATTTATAAAGAAATCAAAACCAGATTAAAAAGGAAATGATCTTCTAATGATTGTATTTTTCAAATCCATGAAAGGCTCATTTTCAAAAATTAGTCCGCTGGCCAAGATCAACAGAGTCAAACAGCATCATATTGTTTTTGGCTTAGTAAACACGGAAAACTCACTGTCATAAAATAAAACCAGGCATTCTCTTGCATAAGAATTCAATATCAGAACAAAATTAAGTGAATTCTGTCTTGTTGAAGCTTAGATAATAGCCTTTCTGAGCATAAGCTGACCAGAACTTAAATCTATTATGGTTCAAGCAGAGAAACCCAAATCCCTATGAAATAAGAATAAATGATATTTCCTAAACATATTCTTTGAAGTGTAACACAGTACACTTTGGAATATACTGTCCTTCTTGAAGTAGTAGTAGGACCGCTCCATGAAAGCTTTGGAGGTATGCCTTTACTGAAGAAAGATAAGTTCTTCTCAATGTTACAGTTTTTGCTTTTTTTTTTATTTGTTCTAAATGTCTTTGTAAGACTAAGAAAATGTCCTAATTCTTTTACGCTTTAGCAAAACAAATGTTTTATTTTCTATCTATAAAGCTGCCTCAGGGTGCCTGGGTGGCTCAGTCGGTTGAGTGTCTGATTCTTTATTTTGGCTCAGGTCATGATCTCAGGGTCATGAGATTGAGCCCCACATAGGGCTCTGCGCTCAGTGGGGAGGTCTGCTTGAGATTCTCTCTCTCTCCCCCTCTGCCCCACCCCCTGCACATGTATGCACACACACACACTCTCTCTAAAATAAATAAATCTTAAAAAAATAAAATAAAACAAGCTGCCTCCTAAGCATTTCTTTTTTTCTTTTTTTAAGAGAGGGAGGGTGGGGACGGGCAAAGGGAGATGGAGAGAGAGAATCTTAAGCAGGCTCCACGCTAGGCAGGGCTCAATCTTACAATCCTGAGATCATGACCTCCTAAGCATTTCTTTTTTCTTTTTCCCTTAAGATTTTATTCATTTGTTTAATTTTAGAGAGAGAACTTGAACAGGAGCGGGGCAAAGGGAGAGAATCTCAAGCAGACTCTGCACTGAGCATGGAGGCCAGTGTGGAGCTCGACCCCATGATCTCAGGAGATCATGACCTGAGCCAAAACCAAGAGTCAGCCGCTCAACTGACTGAGCCACACATGTGCCCCTATGACCTCTAAGCATTTCTAATAAGCAGTCTGCACACAGCTCAATGAAATTCTATAGTCCTCTATGGTCTTAAAATGTACAATGAATATCTAATACTTTTTCTCTAAGACTAAATTTTACTGGGATTTATCTAGAATCCCTGGTTTTTGTTTTTGTTTTTGTTTTTAACAATTATATTTGGTTGTTTAACTATAATCATCAATCAGAATGTGGACTGGTTCAACTGCAGGTTACTTCAAAAGGCTCTTCACTTTTTGGCTTATTCATAAACTATGAGGTTCTCACTACTAGATAAAAAGTGTACTAGTAGTTCCATTATACCAGATAAATGAATTCGGGAAGGATAGCCAATCCTCCTAGTGTCATTAGAGCCTAATATGATGTGTCAGAGAAAGCAATCAGTCAACAATATACATTGTGCTCATTTACAACACACAGCTGGCATTGGGAGTTAAGAGATTCTCTTTTCCATGAAGAACCCAGCTGCAGGTAATCTCTACTAAATTTCTTTAGTACTTTGTATATTCCTTATGGGACCTTCTCTTTGGAGTACAGTGATTTCTGGGCTTATTTTTCTTTCTAGATTATAAGCAAGATGCCTTAACATCTTTAGAGGGTCTCAAGTATTACAGCATTTGTAATTTATTTAATAACCCAGCACTAGTAGGAGAACAGAATGGAATAGTAACACTATCAATACCAAATTCATCAGTATTATGGACTAAATAGGCTTGTGATGTTTGGTCTGGGAATCATGTCACCATTTACATAATATAGGTAACTGCTTTGAGTTCCCAAAACCCAACTTACAAATTCACTCTCAGAACCCAGCAGGGAATTCTTACACTGTATGTATAACCAGAGAGGCTACAGTAAGTCTGTAGAGCAGTCAAGATGCTAACCTTTCCGATTTTGTAAGAGAATGAATTTTTTCTCTTAAAAATACAGTAATTTTAAAAGTAACTTTAAAGTAAATCTTTGAATTTTCTAAAGTTATTTTTAAAGAGAGTATAGGAATTTAAAAATAATCTTTTGTGAAAAAAGTGGGAAAATGTTTCAAAATTAATGCATGGATATATATCTGACCAACCAAACATTTTAAATGGCTTTTGGTTAATCCAGAGATTACTATTAAACAAAGCAAACTTACATCGTTCATAAACCCAATTTCAACTTACCATTTATGTTTATTGCTGGTAATACTATTGACATCTTTGGTCTTGAGGTCTTGTTGTGGGTCGTGGCCGGTAGCAGCAGGTGATCCTAAGAATAACAAGCAACAACCTGTTATAACTGGCTTAGTCTTATAATAGGCCCAAGTCAGAGTTTCTAAGATGCCAACATTTCATTGGGATCATAAACAAAAATGACATTTTTTATTTTAACTTGGCTTAGAGGTAATTAACTACAAATCATCTTATGATTTACTGAGTGTCTATCATTACCAGGTGCTATGTAGTATTCTTGGAATACTCCTAGGTTCTGATAACATACATGTTGTGGTATACTTTAAAGGGTACTGGCCAAGGAGTCCGAACAGAAGGGCTGTAATTCTAGATCGGCCGCTAAGAGCTATATGATCTGGGTCTGTTTCCAATCCTGTAAAATGAGGAGGCTAGACTAGATAATATCACAAGATACTGAAATTATCTATCCAATAGTCATTTTCACGTTTTTTTTTTTTAAGAGGAGGAACATTTCTGCCCTTGTCCCAATTCTGATCCCAAATTACTGGTATATAAAATAGACATTCTGTTTGCAGTAAGGCCAGAGCCTGGAACTTTGTCTGCTTAGCCTCCTCTTCCTTTGAAGCAACCACAGCATTAGATTTCTTTTGGTAAGCAATAAGTATATACTAAAGAAGATGTATAGTTCTTGCCCTTAAAAAGCATATACTTCAATGGAAGAATTAAAAAAATTATAAATGCACATCTAGCACAATTATAAAGTTCCAAATGTAATAATGCCAACATTGGATAATCTATAAATGACCCATGGCATCTGAGGTTTCTGGTTTCCAACCACACAAATACTAAAAGTAAGATGAGCCAAGAGGAGTCTGGCTTCAAAAAAAGGGGAGTATGTGTGTTTTGGAAAAGGTATGTATGACTGCAGGTATTCCAAAGCGGATTATAAACGACTTATAACTTTGTTATGAACTACTGTTTAAACATCAATAACTCCTTTTTCCTAGCAAAAACATAGGGATTGTCACGAAAGAAAGAAAGAAGGAAAGGAAGGAAAGGAAGAAAGAAAAAGAAAGAAAGAAAGAAAGAAAGAAAAGAAAGAAAGAAAAAGAAAGAAAAGAAAGAGAAAAGAAAGAAAAGAAAGAAAGAAAAGAAAAGAAAAGAAAAGAAAAAAAAGAAAACCACATACATTAGTGTTTCCACTTAAGGGAGCATGGTTAAATTGAGATAGAACTGAACCTGATATTAACCCCCCTCACTTCATCACTCATTCAGCAAACTTGCTATAGGGAAGGACTCATTACAAGTAGGATTTAACACAGCTGAAGGTAATAAAAATTCAATGCAACTTAGTTCAAAGGTCAATGTGATTATGAAATGCAATTATCAGCAAAGTGAAGAAAAAATCTAGAATGCAATAAACAAATTGAAATGAATATACATCAACAGAACTGTATAGAAAACATTTCCAGTAACTGCTTGTCCTTTGTTTAACTCAAGGCAGCATTTCTGTGAGAACAGATTTTTTTATTTTTAAAGTTGGGGGAAAGATGAGTGAAGTTGTTCTGTTAGAATTCCAGCATTGCAGCATGGGAGTTTTTTTTTTTTTTTAAGTGCATTGTTAGACACAAAGATCACACATTTCTCAGTAAGATAACATAATATAGCCAAGAAAAAACAAAATTCGCTGATCTTCATGCCATGAAAATTATAAATAGCTTAATTCCTATAATTAAAATACTGCTTCAGGGTCCCCAAAATTGAATGAGAAAACCAACCAACAAACTTGCAAGCCCCAAATTAAAGCTACTGTAAAAATAAACACACTTAGATTCCATTGGTCATGGGTTAAGGTCAGCCTCAGACTTAAATCTGAGTTTCCCGCTAAGATCTAGATGCCATACTAAACATTGTTTTCAAGCATGATTTTCTGAACATAATGTCTTCTACTTTCTTCATTAAATTTCAAACAGTTACTTTTGCAGGAGAAAGCCAAAAAACACATTATTATTTATGAAAAAGAAGAATCACATCTTGAATGCATAAAAATTATTACAGTTAACCAGCCTTGCCTCTAATTATTAGTTTGCAAACTGTGAAGGGTGGGGGCAGAGAGGAGACCTAGAATTTAAAGTGCTTGTTTGGGATGCCTGGGTGGCTCAGTAGGTTAAGTGTCTGCCTTCGGCTCAGGTCATGATCCCGGGGTCCTGGTACTGAGTCCCGAATCGGGCTCCCCACTTAGTGTGGAGTCTGCTTCTCCCTCTACCCCCTCCCCTGCTGCTCGTGCTCGCTCGCTCTCACATAAATAAAGAAATCTTTAAAGTGCTTGTTTACCACAGAACTGCAGGGAATCAAAGCTGGTATACTACAAATTCTAACAGTGCTTATATTAAAAAAGTAACTTATTCACACAAACATCTGGGAGAGTGTAGTTGATTCATTTAACATTTACTTCAAACTAAATGCTCCTTGCTGTAACAGTGAATTCTGAATCACCTTTTTCTCCCAAACTGTGTTCATCTCACTCCTTTTTAGCATATCATTAAATTCTATTAGTGATGTTTTCAGAAACAAAGCTATATTTTGGCACTGTTGCTGAAATCTATGTCAGCAATTTTAGGATATCTCCAAATGCACTCCTGAAAAGCCTCTATAGGACTGAGATACCATGGGATATCTTCAGGGAGGAAACTTTGTGGACAGACACTATCATCAACACATTGTTATTTTTATTCCCAGAAGAAGTCAGAGAAACACTGGTGGGAAAACACCAAAACATTTCACTGTGAGAATAAAACAGTTTTCCCCAGTGTTATGCAATATCGTGCATGAGAAAATCTGCCATTTTCATACAGTTCTCCTAATTCTTTTCCAAGCACTTTGTTAGAAGAGAACCAAAATATTAGTGCATAATGCAGCATCCAAAATTATGTTTCTTCTCTTTTTAAGAGGGCTAAAGCATTGGAAACTAACCTGTCAAAAGAACAGGACCACATTTTGCTCAGCTGAAGGTTGAAATGGTAATTCACAATAAAATTAAGGTCCTACTAGGTGTTGTCTCATGTTAATTCTATATATCCTTGTAGAGTGGAAACTGACCTCCAACTTAAACCGCTGAGATTAAATGACCCTTCCCACTCCCTTCTAAAACTTACTGATACCCACAGCACAAGTGAACATTCATGACTAGTTTTGTTTTTTTTTCCCGAAAGTACTTTTGCTAATTGTATTTGTTAGGGTAATTGGGGGCGCCTGGGTGGCACGGTTGGCTAAGCATCCAACCCTTGGTTTTGGCTCAGGTAGTGATCTCAGGCTCATGAGACTGAGCCCCACGATGGGCTCCAAGCTCAGTGCAGAGTCCGCTTGAGATTCTCTCTCCCTCTCTCTCTGCCCTCCTGCTCATGCTCTCTCTCAAATAAATAAATCTTTAAAAAAATATTAGGGAAATTGATTAAAAAATGTGTGAAAAGGAGATTTAATAAAAGTGAATAGTTTAAAAAATTCACTCATTCCAAAACAACCATAAAAGACTGAGAAAAAAATCATACCAGTCTGCATTCAGATTGCTTAAAAAAGTATCTTTAAATTCTTAATCTAATTTAGAGTAAGAGTAACTGATACTGGAAATTATGGTTGATGCATTGTGAGTGTAGTTTGTATTGAAAGGCAACATGGAATTCTTCCAGATCTGGACTCAAAGAAAAGGTGTTGGCCCTACATCAAAACTTGGCAAGCAAGTCCACATTTATATAATTAAATGAAATAAATTTAAAATATAAATATTATTTTGATGATCTCCTGCTTTAGCCAATTTTGTTAATTCATAGATTTTCCAGTAGTCCCTATTATACTAGGTAAGACAGTTTCTCTTGTATTAGGAAACTCTGACCTAAGCTTGGGGCCCCATATCTTTGATAGAAAGGAATGTATTTAATATCTAATGATGCTTCCTGGGGAATGAGGGAAACTGTCTGCAACAGGCTGCACTCTGACAATGAGCAGCTTTTATTTGGATCAACATGGGCCTCTATTTGTCAAATTTTGCATGTCAGGCCCATACTAACAACAATGACTTCTTAACATTTCCTATACTTGGTCTATATCCACTGGATTCCAGAGATGGGCTTGGTTTTTCAATATAAAACCGTTAAAACCAGATCAAAAATAAAAAGCATCTATCCTCATTTCAAAAACAGCTTTGCATTAATTTTCTTCTAATCTATGTTCCTATCCTGGGGAGCTCTCATTTTCTATCACTTTACCTCATTTATCTCACCAAGTCTCTGGCAAGCTCCCGAACTAAATGAAGAGCATATCAAAGCTTGGAAATAGGAGAGCCAAAGCAGCAATGAGAATTAGGCCTTCCAGAGCTCTTTATCAAAGTCAAACATTCTGAATTTATGTTGTTTGCTAAGAGCCGTATTAATTGCTGATCAAATGTGTCCAACATGAAAGCAACTGAAAAGCAAAGATAATTAAGAAATTTGAAACCATTAAAATACACAGATACACACAGTGACATATCCTAAAAGAAAAAATGTAAAGAAAAAAAATTAGAGGTAGTAAAACTAAGTAGAATGTAATCATTTTAAAAGTCTATTAAAATGTCTATGATGTAGGGCTTCCCATTATAGTAAAAACATAAGCTAAGTACATTACTCACCCCCAAACTAGAAAGTTAATATAAATAGCTAATATGAATGCAGTATTTGTGCCACTAACGTACGCAATAAGACTACAGACCAATAAAAGGAAATGTAAAGCTTGCATCAGCACCATTAACATGCATGTCAACCAGAGGAAGAATAAATCAAAACTATTAGTGCACAACAGATGGCCCAAGAGAGGGCCAAGGTTTACATTTCACCAGAGGAAAATTCTGACACTACGCTCAAACCTGATAAATGCTGCCAAGGTCACCAGAGGAAAGATTAGCTTGAAATCCTAGTAAGTACAAACTCATTTTGCTTTAAGATATGGTTCTCATATGAAACTCTGTGGGAGTCTCCAAACCTGCCCAACGGACTGTGACCTCCCCTTTTATGCGCACAAAAATGTATAAGGTTGGACCATATA